CCCCCCCCACACCATGTGTAGACAGGGCCTGTGACCTTCTTTCAAAAAATAAAATATGGCAAAAGTGATGAGATGTCATGTCCATAATTGTTACTCAAGATTGCAACTTCCATCCGTCCAGCTGACTCTCTCCCTTGAGAGCTTTTATGAAGTAAGCTGCTGTATGGGAAGGTCCACTTAGTAAGAAACTGAAGGTGGCCTCTGGCCAACAGCCAACAAGAAGCTGAGTATCTCAGTCTGACGACTCTCAAGGAACTGAACCTTGAAGTGATCCTTTCCCAGTTGAGCCTCAGACAAGACCCCAGTCCTGGCGAACACCTCGACTGCAGCACTGTGAGACCCTGAAGCAGAGGACCCAGCCAAGCCATGCCCAGAATCTGTGAAATATTTAGGTTGCTTCTAATAGCAATTTCTTACTCAGCAATAGATATTAATACAGCACAACCACATTATAGGGTTGTTATGAGGATGCAAAAGAAAAAATTTCATGTAGTAGCATGGTGTCCGGCAGATAACGAACCAACTCTCCAATGTTTGCCTGGGATCTCAGCCTTCCTTACTCTCCTTTGTATGGTAAAGCTAATCTATACTCACAGCTGCAGCCACCACCACTGTTGACTGCTCACTCCCAAACCTAGCCCAGATCTCTCCTAAATTATTCATCCAACCCCTCTCAAACTCAACAAATCCAAATTAATTTCCTATACACATTTCTTTTTTTTTTTTAAAGATGACCGGTAAGGGGATCTCAACCCTTGACTTGGTGTTGTCAGCACCATGCTCAGCCAGTGAGCTAACTGGCCATCCCTATATAGGATCCGAACCTGGGGCCTTGGTGTTATCAGCACCACACTCTCCCGAATGAGCCACGGGCCAGCCCGCATTTCTTCAATATTATTGTTTCTAGAACAAAACTCCTTATCTTCTCGGCCTCCTAAGCCTTCTTGCTTTTCATTTTTCATTTCTTTCTTTGTTGATGGAATCTACATTCACCCGACCTCTCATGTCCTCTCCTAGGTCTTTTGTCCTCCTAATAGACACATAAACATCAGCAAATCTGTCTGGTTAATTCTAACACAAATATTTCTTGACTATCTATCCCTATTCCCATTGCTATGCCTTAAATCAGACTCTCCTTGTCCCTCCGCTAGATTTTTACAAAAGCTTCTCAGCATACTCTATGTCTCCTCAATCCCTAGTCCATCATCATCCACACCGCCTTCAAAGGGCTCATTCTGAAAGCTAGGCTGATCAAGTTTTTCTATTGCTTAAAACTCATAACTATGATTTTTACTGCAGCAGCTACCATTTTGTGAGCATTTGCTATATCCCAGTAAACTACTCTAAATGCTTTATTAAATGAAATGCTTTCATTTGTTCCTCACGAAAATCCTTTAAAGTAGATACTATTGTCATCCTCATTTTGTAGGTAAGGAAACTAAGACTTAAGGAGTTAAGTAATGCCATAGGTTAGGGAACGATGATTCAACTCCAACCAGTCCAACTCTGTCATCTCATGCCTTTAACCACTACGATAAGATCCAAGACAACAAATGTAATATTGCCTCTCCCTCTCCGCTGCAACTTCCTACCCCATCCTTCTGCTACTCCATAACTTTTCACTCCCAAATACCACATTGCTTAAATTCCCGTTACAAAATGAGCTGTTGAAGTCTCTGGGCTTTCATCGGGGCATTTTGTTCCCTGCTAAGAATTCTCCTTCCCCACTGCCTGCTATAATCGCCGCCTTCCTCCTGCCCTAATCTCATACATGTTTTCTTTCACAGACTCAGTCACACAGAATCAATCATCTCATTAGCTGTGCTATGTACTATATATGTGCTTTTTTGCTTGCATACATTGTCATGTTTCTTTTCATATTTCTCACCTAAATTAAATAACAAGCTTCTTTAAAGCAAGGACTAAGCATTCTGGGAACTAGCTCTGTAATAATTTCTAAATAAAATCAATGAATAATCCTACTCTGGCACAGGATTATCCTACATCCCTGTGAAGATTCCTAGGACATCACATGCTTGACATCTACCACAGGATTTCTTCAGCTTGTTATTTAAGGAAAATCCCTAGATTTTCCAACATTACCATCTCCATGACAATAGTAAGGCTCCAGTTCATCCATCACCTCCTTACCCTCCCCACCATTACCATTTATGGGTGGTGCAGATACTTCACAAATGCAGCCCCCAGGGTTCAGCCCAACTACTTAATTAACACAGACTAACACATATTTCCTGTGATACTACAGACTAGTACCAAATCTTTTAATGAATGAGGGAAAGTCACTAGGAAGCCAACAGATTAAAGTGACAAGCGAGTAGCCGATGAATGCGGCCGCCAAGTAACAAAGCTGGGTTCCTGAGTAACAATGAGCAAGGTCCCCAGCCAACTCCTGTAGGGTACTGCGTGCTAGAGAGAAAAGTTAAATCACTAGAATTTTGAAGATTTCATGACATATTATTATAAAGTCAATCCTCACTCATAAAATTACTTTTCCTTCACTTAATAAGCATTTTTCCATATGACTGCAAATGCTGCATAATCATCACTATTAATGGCTACAAAGCATCCAACTTGTAAATACACCAAAATTTTTTCACTTCCTATCTACCAATGTCTTTATTTTTTTAATCTCACAGGCATACATCTTTTTCTTGTGTTTAGAATTATTTCCATAAGATAAATTCCTAGAAGTAAAATTGCTGGATCAAAACACTCAAATATTTTAAGGCTATTAGAGTACGCAACAAAATTGCTTCTTTTACCAATTTATACTCTTGAGGCAACATACTCAGTCAATAAGGTCACTATATTGTTTCCAGTATCATATTTTTAAATGCTTAGCAATAATATTTCACTATTTTATACTTAACATATCATCTTTGATTATTCATAGATTATCTACTATATACCAGGAACTATGCTAGACATGGAATATAGCAGTGAACAAGATAAACATAGCCCCTGGACTACTATGAACCTTAATTACCAGAAAAAAACAATAACCCCATCTTATAGGGTTAGCT